CGGGGCGCTCCCCCCCGCGCGGGGGGCCGGAGCGCCCCCGGGCCGGCACGGGCAGGGGCCTCTGGGGCAGGCCCTCCGGGGCAGGCCCGCAGGAGGCCGCAACCACTGATGTCCCGTGGGTTTTGGAGGATCTCTGCCGTTTGCTCGTTCTCGCCTCCCGACGGCCCAGGACGGCCCCCGAGACCACCGTGATGGCCCAGCGCCCAAGAGGCCTCCGAGCCCCGACGGCCCAAGAAACCCCCCAAGACGGCCCCAGGAGGACCCCAAGACGGCCCAGGAGAGCCCCCCAAGACGAGCCGCGGCCAGCCGCAGCCGAGAACAGCCACAAACGCCCACAAGTCTCCAGAAGCGCGGGCGAACACAAGGACTACGCCTCCCCTCAAAGCTCGGCCCAAAAAATCTGCCGAAGGGCGGGTTCTGGCCTTAGGTCGGGCGTGTCCCCCTACAGGTGGATTTTGGACGAAAACTAAGACATGCCCCCAAAGTGCCACAAAATAGCCCAGCATTGCCAAAAACTCGTCCCCAGACTATGCTTTGACTATGTTTGAACATCCCCCCTGTAGAGGGACAGGCCCGCATTACACGTCGGTCGGAAGAAGTAGGTAGAAACACGAAGTAGGAAGGCGGATGAAGTGGATTGGGTCCATGCCCCCACCCCCCTGGGAATAACAAAGCACAGCAAGAGCGTGCCGATTCTTGAAGTAGGAAGGCGCTTGAAGTAGATGGGGTTTTGGGAATCCAAAAATACCTACTTCACCGACCGGCGTGTAATGCTGGCCAGCCGTGCAGACAACGGGGGGCGACCCACGAGGCCCACACAGAGCCCCAAACTTCACACCTCTGCCGCCGTCGTCGCCATCGTCGGCGCCCCCGGCGTCGGCGTCGCCGTCGTCGGCGTCCCCGACGTCGGCGCCTGCGGCGCCGCCAATGTCAGGTCGGGCCATGCCCCCCCACAGTGGGGATTCTGGGCGAATAAATAAAAACATATTCCCAAAATGCGGAAAACATGCTCAAGAATATTCAGAGAATCGTCCCCAGACCATCCTTTCACTATGTTGGAGTATTCCTCCTGTAGAGGGACTGGCCCGACTTGACGCCCATGGCGAAGACGCCGACACCGACGACCATGACGACCACAGCGACGACACCGACCGCGCCGCCGACCCCTGAGACCCCACGTCACGAAACAAGTTCGCCATCGGAACAAAACACGACCGGCGCCAAGGACACCATCCTTTTTGATGAGCCTGTTTTTCACCACCACCACCACCACTTGGAGGGGGGAAGGAGGAGGAGGGCGAGGAGGAGGAGGACAAGATGAGGAGGAGGAGGAGGAGGGGGAGGAGGAGGAGTAGGAGGAGGAGGAACACCCCCCTCCAACGTATGGTGGTGGTGGTGGTGGAAAACATGCCCATCACTTCTGCTGCATTTTTCGAGCCAGATCGATCCGCGAGGGCCCCGGGGCCCGAAGCGAAGCAGACTCGCCCGCTGCGGAAAAAAACAACGACGACGTCTGAATTTCAGGGAGTGACAATTTGTTTCACAACATCGACCCCCGAAGGTCTCGACACTCCCCGGGACTGGCTTCTCATTTCACGGTCCCGAGACCCGGCGAGGGCCCCGGGAGGCCGAAAACTACCCCCCCCCCAAAAAAAACCTTTCGTCGTTATCATTTCACGACGCGAGGGGGTCTGCGACAACGACGACGACGGCGACGACGGCGACAAAGACGACGGCGCCAAAGACGACGACGACGGCGGCGGCGGCGACTGAGACGACGACGGCGGCGAAGCCGCCAGCGACAGGCGGCAGAAGGCCCCAGGGCGCCCGGCGCTGCCGCTTCGGCCGGCGGGGGCGCGTGCTCGTACTGCTCCGACCCGTCGGCCTCGCAAAGAAGCACTATTGCAGGCCAGAGGGATCCTCCTCGCTCTTCCTCGAGTTTCCTCGATCCTCCTCCTCCCTCATCCTCGATCCTCCTCCTCCTCGCTCCTCCTTCTCCCCATCGATCCTCTTCGATCCTCCTCGATCCTCCACCTCGATCCTCCTCCTCCTCCTCATCATCCTCATCCTCGATCCTCCTCTTCCTCCTCATCCTCCTGCTCGCTCATCCCTCCTCGATCCTCCTCGAGTGGGATGGTGTGATGTGCGATGGTGCGCTGTCCCCTGCCGCTCGAGGTCCTGGTGCACCAGATAACGCTGGGTCGAGTTCGTTCGTCTCCACCTTCGCGGAGTGGTGCTGCTGCTCACAGCCCCTGTGGTCATCATCATGCTCATGGGACTGAACTTCCTGGTGGGCGGGCTGCTGGGCGTGCAGGTGCTTGCTGTGGACATGGGCACCGGTACGAAGTTCGAAGATTCTCTGTCGTTCCGGGGCGCATCGGCATAGTGGGCTATGGCGTTTTAGTGTACTCGGTGGTGCTCTTCGGCGCCTTTCTCATGTTGTTTTCAAATTCATGCCGCAAGTCGTCGACATCGCCGTTCTGTGCACTATGACCAGCCGCGGCGTGTGGCTGCGGGTACGTGTGTTGTGAATGCTAGCCAGGCCCGCCCCACTTGGCGGCGCGCAGAAGGGGGTAGGGGGAGGTGGAAAGGCTTCTAAGAAGGAGACTGCTTCTTAGAAAGCCCCATGTTGTTGGGATTGTTCAGCATATCTGGCTCGCGAAATAATTTCGACATCGGCGACCCTCTGGTGGCACTCGTCCTGGGCCCTCTGGATGGCGGTCTCCGCGCGCCTCTCCTGGCCCTTCATCTCGAGGTGGGCGTTGCGCAGGGACGGAATCCCCCAGTGGCTGCGCAGCAGGACCCGCTCTCTGAAATCGTTGATTCTCTGCGCCTCGATGACGGAGATGCGTTGGTCCGTTTCGCGCATGCCATTGTACTGCATCGCGGTTTCCATGGCGGAATCTATCTACATGAAATGTAGATGCTGCTGGTTGGTCTCGCGTTCGTGGTCGTGCTCGGCGGGTCTTTGCCGCGCCAGTCTCAGATGAATCATCGCGCACGTCGGCGGCGGGCTCGTCTCGAGTGAATGAAGACGTCCTTCCAGCTGCGGCTGTTGCGGCATTCGTCGCCCCCCCCTCCCCTTCAGCTCGCACCGGCAGCGCCGCGCCTTGACAGCGCGCGTTTGCTTCTTTTGCCCCACTTGCGCGGTCTCTTAAACTGCTCGAAGGTGACCCGCTGTATCTCCTCCAGTCCCGTCGCGGATGGCTTCCTCGCCTTCTCGTTATCCGCGTTGCCGTGGTAATGGCAGCCGAACGCCTCCGTGACCTCGCTCCTGTTTTCTGTGCGTCTTAAGCGCGGAGTTGGTTATCCCCCTTGAGGGCCTCGGGTAGCGCACCAACGAAGGCCCTCGTTTTCCCCCCCCAGCCCTGCCTTGCCTTCTTGGTGTTGGCGCGGGGCCCCTCCTCCGGGCACCATCTCGGCGCGGGGCATCCTTCTCGTCGTCTGCTGCGCCAAATTCGTTGTATGCGTCGGCCCGCGCAAGCTTGATGCCCCTTGAAGATGCTGTGGGGCCCGTTGACCGTTTTCGACTGATTTGCGTTGCGCTTTGGTCTGCTCGCAGCCGGTCTCCCTGGCACGCTGTTGAAGCGCCATGCTGCTGATGATCATCGCGCTGGTGAAGGCGATGTGTGCTTCTGCGTCTGTAGCGGGTAGGCCAGCGGCGCTGGCCTTCATGGTCGCGGCTGCAATCCGTCGCTGTTAAACTCCCAGTTTTCTGCCACTCCTCTTTGAATGTTGGGTTATTGGGCGGCGCGTCTCATTGGTGCCTTCTGGTGGTTTCCTTCTGTCCTTTCTTCCTTCCTTATGAAAACACTCCTCCCTGTCGCACCCCTGGACGCGTTGGTAGGGCGGGCCTGGCGTTCCGCCAGAGACCTCCTCACCAGTTAGGACCCTGGCGCTTGAAACTTAGAACAGGTTCAAAGATGGAGGGCGGGTGGCTTTCAAAATGCTGTTCTCGCATAAGCGTCGCGCGCATGCGCTAAAGAGTCTGCAACCGTTTCAAGGATTGAGGGTGGGCTATGTTCAAAATGTTGTTCTCGCACTAGCGCCGCGCACACGCGTTTTAAAAATCTGCAGTCGCTTTGCGAATGGAGAGGGGGGGGAAACGTTTTCAGGAGGTGGTTCTCGCCTTTGCGCCGCGCACCTTAGTCTTATCCGCAAGGCTGAAGTCCCAGGAATGGTGTATGGCACGATGCCTGGTTGCCAGGACGCGACAGCCATGTTAATTCGCGGTGTTGAAGTCCCACGAGCGATGTACTGGCACGATGGAAGATTGTCCGGACGCAACAGTCGCATTGATTCCTCGGGTTCACATCCCATGGAAGGTGTTTTGGCAGGATTGGAGATTATCAGAAGGTTGCTCTCCAAGGGGGCACTTCCCGAGGGAACCTCGAAGACGGGAGCATGGCGAGAGGGTGTATTTCAACATTGTTGATGCGTCTTGGGCTTTCACTGGTCCTCCTCCTCCTCCTCCTCCTCCTCCTCCTCCTCCTCCTCCTCCTCCTCTAACTTCTTAATGTGCCCAGACACGCCAAAATCTAAAGGCCACGGCCTCAACCACCTCGCATGAGCTGCTAGGGCCAGGCGCTTATCCGCAGCGGTGGTCGTTCGTTCGTTAACCACCTCACCCGACACCTCCTGCCTCCTCCGACGCATTCTTCGCATGAGATGCGACGTCACGAAACAATTGCAACAACGCGAATAAAAAAAACTCGACCAGAACCTTGGACCCCGGATCGATCCTCGAGGTTCCCGGGGCCCGAAATCTGACAAAATCGCCCGTTGTGAAAAACTACGACGCCAAGACCTCTGGGTTCCTCCTCTCTCGTGCGTCCCGCCCCTGGTCCGCGCCTTGAACACCAGGTGCACCACGTCGTTCGACGATATCTGCTGCGCGCGGATCGTGGCCTGGGCGCCCAGGGCCGCGGGCGAGGACGCGGGCAGCTCGAAGCCTCCGTGTTGTGGCCAGGGCACGCGCGCGGTCCGAATGCCGTCTGGCGCCACAATTGGAGCTCTCTTGGATGGCCCCAGGCCTCGTCGGAGCGATCTTGGGGGCCTCCTGGGCCTTCTTCGGCGCTCGGGCGATCGAAAACGCGAGCATGCTAACATCGCACGAGGACCGAAGGAAGATCAGTGATGTTTGCATCTCTCTGGGGCGGCCAAGAGGGGGGCGTGCAAGAGGGGGGGGGCGCAAATCATGGCCGGCGGCACGTGCGCGGGCCAGCGGGCACCCCAGGGACGCACGGAAGCAAGAAGAGGGGCCATGAAATCTGGAGAGACCGCATGGCCTCCGCCATGATACCCCCCCTCCCTAGCCTTTGCCGCCCCCGAATCTCGTGGTATTCTTTAGAGAAAGAAAAAACACATAAACATACAGTCGGGGCCTTGACCTAAGGAACCCTAAATAAGGAACGAGGCCCCTTTTTCCCAGAAGTGAAACTTCGATTCCTCATGGAAAACCTAAGGAACACCCAAGGCAAACTGTAAAACAATCAAGGAACACCGATCCCCTCTCCAACAAAAAGGGTTCCTTCTCCAGGGCCCCGACTGTAAACTCTCGACGGTCCGCGCCAAAGTCTGTGTTCATGTGTGTCTGTTCTTCTTCGATTCTTGGGGGTCCTCCCGGGGCCCCCGTGGGGCCCGTCTTGGGCGCTCGCTGGGCCGACTGCGGGCCCCCCTGGGCCGCCCTGGGTCGTCTTGGCAGGCGGCGCGAGGGAAAAGGGGGCTCCTGAAAGAACCTGGCCCAGGAGGAGGAGGAGGAGGAGGAGGAGGAGGAGGAGGAGGAGGAGGAGGAGGAGGAGGAGGAGGAGGAGGGAGGGAGGGAGGGGGGAGGAGGAGAGGAGGGAGGAGGAGAGGAGGGAGGAGGGAGGAGGGGGAGGAGGAGGAGGAGGAGGAGGAGGAGGAGGAGGGGGAGGACGAAGCCAGGACCGGGACAGATCAGGCAAGGACAGATCGGGGACCTCTGAGATCCGCTCTGCAACGATTGCTCCGAGTCCTATCCCCGCCTGGTGATCCTAGGCCCCAGGGTTTGTAACGGTCCTAGGGTCTGGAAAGGGCCTCCACAAGCAAGAAACAGTACAACACATACAAACGCGTTTACCTAAGACCCTTTGACGTCAGAAGTCAAGACACGCTTGCTCCAGGTTGGAACAACATTAGCCTCCACCCCCCCCTGACCGTCCTCCCTCTCCTCTCTATATATACTCCTCTCTCATTCCTTCCTCCCTCCTCCACCGCACGGCAACCCTGCCTCTTGCAAGTCAGGACTGACGTGTCGGCCCCCTGCTCGTGGTTAGATTCATTCCTCTCCCTATGCATCCTGTCCCCTTCTCCCGTTCTCCTGCTCCTCCCCCTTCTCATCCCCCCTCTTCCCTCCGCCTCCCCTTTGTTCTCTTCTCCACTATCCGCCTGCATAATCCTCCCTCCTCCTACTCCTTGCCTTCCTCCACCTCCTGCTCCTCCTTCTCCTCCTCGTCCTCCTCTCCAGTATCATCATCATCATCATCATCATCATCATCATCATCATCATCATCATCATCAGCAGCAGCATCAGCATCAGTATCATCAGCATAATCTGCATCATCATCAGCATCATCATCAGCATCATGATCACCATCATCATCATCAGCATCATCATCATCATCATCGTCATCATCATCATCGTCATCAACATCATCATCATCAGCATCATCATCAGCATCATCATCATCACCATCATCAGCATCATCATCATCATCATCATCATCATCATCATCATCATCCGCATCATCTTCATCATCAACATCCTGATGATCATCATCATCATCAGCAGCATCATCATCATCGTCATAATCATCATCATCAGCAGCATCATCATCATCGTCATCGTCATCATCAGCATCATCATCATCATCGCCGTCATCATCACAAGCCGCAGCAACCTCATCATCACAATCATCAGTAGCATCAGTAGCACCACAATCATCATCAACAGCAGCATGATGGCCAGCATCATCATCATTCCCACCATCACCATCAACATCACCACAACCATCGTCCTCATCAGCAAAATCATCATCATGATAAGCAGCAGCATCATCATCAGCATCAGTATCATCAGCATAATCTGCATCATCATCATCAGCATCATCATCAGCATCATGATCACCATCATCGTCATCATCATCATCAACAGCATCATCATCATTATCATCATCATCATCATCATCATCATCATCATCATCATTAGCATCGTCATCGTCATCGTCATCCTCGTCATCGTCATCATCATCCGCAGCATCTGCAGAAGCATCATACAAATCATCATACATAACAATATCATCAACCGCGTCCGCATCCGCATCTGCCTCCTCATCAGCATCAGCATCATCAACAGCATCATCGCCTTCATCTTCATCACCTTCATTACCAACAACAATACCAAATACTCACCATTATACTCATCTTCACCCTCATCATCGTACTTAACACCATCGTCATCGTCATTGCCATTGCCATCATCATCATCATCATCATCATCATCATCATCATCACCACCATCACCATCACCACCACTATCATCGTCATCATCATCGTCATCATTTACAACAACAGCATCATCATCCTCATCATCATCATCGTCATCAGCATCATGATCATCATAATCAGCACCCTCATCATCATCATGAGCAATTCATGAGATCATCAGCATCATCAGCATCAACATCATCATCATATCATCATCATCATCATCCCTCCTCCTCCTCCTCCTCCTCCTCCTCCTCGATTCTCAAAATGATTGTCGATCCTCCCCCTCCTCCGCCTCCTCCTCCTCCTCCTGCTTCTCCTCATCCCCCTCCTCCCTCCTTCCTCTTACCTCCCCTCCTCCTCGTCCTCCTCCATTGCGTTTCTACTCTTCGACACGACGAGATAGCAGAAGAACGGCCATGTTTGAACACGTCGTGGGAGAGATTGAGATCCAATTTGGTGACAGCGGCCAGCGAGGTAATCCCAGAGATCTCGCGCAGCAAACGTAGACCCTGGATCAGCGACGCAACCCTCAGGCTCATCGAACACCGGGCCCGGTGCAGGCAGCTGGCAGACGCTGAGACCGAAAAGAGGGCAGCCAAGGAGATTCAGAAATCCGCTCGCCAGGACCAGGCGCGCTGGCTCCGGGACATGGCTTCGCAGGGCACTTGGGCGTCTCTCACACGGCTCCGCCGCGGCCGGAAAGTCGCGCAGACGAGGCTGCAGCAGGAGAGCGAGGCGCCGGTCGGGACCGAGGACAGGGCGGCAACCTTTGCAAAATATCTGGAGACCGTGCAGTGGCACGTACGCCCGGTGTCCGTGTTGGACGACGCACCAGAAGCGACCTGCAGCCCATTGGATATTCGCGAAGGGAATTTTCATCTACAGAACTCCGCAAAGCGATCAATAGAATGGCCAGCGGAAAAAGTGTGAATCCCGACGACGTCCCGATCGAACTCCTCAAGGTCCTGGCGGCGGCCACCGGGGAGAACCTCCAGCCCTTGCTTGACGTCATGAACATGTGTCTCCTTCTCGAGCAGGTGCCCCAGGAATGGATGATCGCCAAAGTAGCCATGGTGTTCAAGAAGAATGACCCAGGATGTTTGGACATCTACAGGCCGATCTGCTTGTCTTGCGTGGCATACCGCGTCTTTGCCAGCATGCTCAAGCAACGCTTTCTTGACGCAGGGCTCGACGATGGAATATGGCCGACGCAGTTCGGCTTCCAGGCGAAACGGTGCACCGAAGACGCCATATTCATCGCCCGAAGACGCATAGAACTTGCACGGGCGCAGAAAGGCGACTCTCTCTCGCTGCTAGCACTCGATTGGCGTAAGGCGTTCGATAGCGTCAACGTCGATAGCATGCTTTCAGCTTTACAGAGGAAGGGCATCACCGGCAAGTACATCAGGCTGCTGCGAGATATCATGAACGGCAGACAATTCTACGTCGAAGACATGGGGTTTACGTCAGAGAGACGGCCGCAGCGGTCTGGCATCTCGCAAGGATGCACGCTGAGCCCGCTACTGTTCATCACTGTGATGTCTTGCATGATGGAGGACGCGGTGGCCCTGCTCTCCCCAGGCGCGTCAGCGGCGTACATATCTGGGAACCTGGCAGACATCGCCTACGCCGACGACACGCTGGTAGTGGGGACAGCTACCGCGCACGTCCAAGAGTTTGTCCAAGCAATCTCTAAGGCCGGTCAGGCCTACGGTCTCGAGCTCCACGTCAGAAAGTTCCAGCTGCTACAGACAGGTCGCCAAGCTGAAGTACAGATCGGGGACCGCTGCGTGCAGTGCGAGGAATCGCTCGTGTACCTTGGGTCGACTCTGACTGCTGACGGAAAGATGACGACCGAACTCAGCCGAAAGATCGGTTTGGCGAGCGCGGGGTTCCGTGCAGTGAGGCAAGTGTGGCGGCATTCCGTTTTAATTCGCAGATGGAAGCTGCATGTCTTCACCGCACTCATTGAATCAAAACTACTGTACGGATTGTCCGCCGGATGCTGTTTGAAAGCTGATCTGCGGAGGCTTGACGGCTTCCAAGCCAAGTGTCTGAGAGTGATCATGGGCATCTCACCATCCTATATCTCGCGGATCTCGAACGCGGAGGTCCTGCAGATGGCCGGCGTGCAATCCGCTTCAGACCAGCTCTACAGACGGCAGCTCGTGTACATGGGCAAGATCGTGCGCTCTCCGCCGGAGTCGGCACTGAGAAGGGCGTCTTTCATTCCCGGGACAGACGTGCCGGCCACCGACCGCTATGAGAGACGGCGTGGCCGACCGAACAAGGAGTGGATACGCACAGTCATGCCACAGGCCATCCAGCTGACTGGATCATATGTGCGATTCCGTGAGCAAGTTGCGGAGGAGCACACGTGAAAGCAGCTGGTGTACAAC